ATGTATATATTTATATTAATATAATTTATATTATATATAAATATACTTAATAAATAAACATACATTTTTAAAATAATAAATACATGCATGTGTGTGTATTTATATACAAATAATAAATATACAAAGTACACAAACATAAATTATAAACAAAAATGGATTATTATTTTGGATGTGATTGCCCCTTGTGGGATTAATAAAGTTGTAAAAAAAATAAATAAATTTATCATTTGACAGCCCTAATATATATATATATATATATATTTGCTACTGTACTATATTAATAATAAAACATAGGCTAAGGTTTTTCTTAAAATCTCTAATATTTTTAATTATTTTACTTTCAAATAAAAACATGTATTTATATACAATAAATTATAATATATTGTTGCCTGATAATAATATAACTGCTTATATGTTTAGCAATGTTTTGTGCAAATACAGACAAACACAGGCTAATTCCCGTGTTGACGGTCATGCATCACACCTTTGGCTCGCTCCTCCAGGATGGTGTTGAGGCTGCCCAGCGGTGCCAGCTGCAGGGAGAAGCAGAGCGGGTGGATGCTGATGCCCACCAGAGCCACAATACACGGGTGCTGCAGGGAGTGGAGCATGCTGGCCTCCTGACGAAACTCAGAGAAGCTGCGGGCCGCATCCATCGACTGCAGGTGCTTCATCATGGTGTCTGTGAAGAGACCAGTTCAACACGCTGTTACTGCAGGCCTGAAGAGAGTGGCTCAGACTCTCACCTCAGGTCATGGAATAATTATCCATAATGAGTGCAAACACAATCACATTTACACGCTCACATCAGCATGTGAATCTACAACAACCTCTGTATTGGAAAATTACTGTTTCATTGTGACAATTAATCACATTATTTACTTCAGTGGTGACCATATCGGATGTTAATTCCACCTTACTTTGATACCATGAAACCACATAAATTTACCATGATATTTAAAGATTTATTTTTTTGGCATTTTTTGCCTTTATTGTGACAGGACAGATCAGAATTGACAGGAAGCAAAGTGGGAGAGGGATCGGGAAAGGTCCTCGAGTTGGGATTCGAACATGGTACGCCCGTAGCGCAACT